TTGAGGCGGTCTCCAATCTGGCAGCGCAGGGTGTTGACTTCCTGATGGGAAGAGGGAAGGAGTGAAACCACAGAAAGAAGTGTACAAATAAACTCTGACAGATGCCTTTGTGGCGAGAAGAGAATTGCACTGGAACTTAAGAAACGTGAGTTGAAGCCCAGTTGATATAAAACCAAGCTGTTACCTCTGGTGACTCAGGCCTCCTCTCTGAGCCTCTTTCCTCCTCTGCATAATAATGTTGCTGGATTAAATTATTGCAAATGTTTCTTCCCACTCCAGGATTCTACCATTTCTTTCTGATTTTCTCTTTGCTCAGTGATAAGCCTGGCATGATAATCGGTTTACGATTGTTGCTATCTAAATATAGAGAAACCACGTTTAACTCTTCTGTCTACTTCAGGTCTTCTACCTTCATATACTGTTAATTTCTTCCTCATGAAAACATCTAATGTTTGTGACATGCATCTGATTTCCTAGATCTCAATCAACCATTCATCCATCTGCCCATCATCCATTTATCCAGCTTGGGTTCTAGTTATCTAGGTGAAACAGAGTATAAGAATGTTTGCTATCTTCTTCCAGTCTTGGTCTTTAATTTGGTGCCTATTCAGAAGATAATGAATCTTATCAAACAGTAGAAAATATTTTAAAGATCTTTATGTGACTTTCTGGTCACATATCCGGTCCCAAATGGAAATAGGTCATCTGACCACACTCCTTTATGTAAAAGAAGTAAGCTNAGTGATAAGCCTGGCATGATAATCGGTTTACGATTGTTGCTATCTAAATATAGAGAAACCAGGTTTAACTCTTCCGTCTACTTCAGGTCTTCTACCTTCATATACTGTTAATTTCTTCCTCATGAAAACATCTAATGTTTGTGACATGCATCTGATTTCCTAGATCTAAATCAACCATTCATCCATCTGTCCATCATCCATTTATCCAGCTTGGGCTCTAGTTATCTAGGTGAAACAGAGTATAAGAATGTTTGCTATCTTCTTCCAGTCTTGGTCTTTAATTTGGTGCCTATTCGGAAGATAATGAATCTTATCAAACAGTAGAAAATATTTTAAAGATCTTTATGTGACTTTCTGGTCACACATCCGGTCCCAAATGGAAATAGGTCATCTGACCACACTCCTTTATGTAAAAGAAGTAAGCTTGTGACTCATTCCCCAACAATCTCCCAAGTATGCTTTAAGCAACCAGCAAAATGTTGCGTTAGCTCTAGGGTGCTTAGCAAATCGAGAGCTACTTACCCTGCTCAGGGGAGTCATGGAGCTCTCAGTATTGGGAGTTGGGGGCTGGGACTCTTACCTGCTCATGGTTCTGCTTGAGGGACAGCAGTTCCTCCTTCAGGGACTCCACCTGGGCCTCCAGGTCAGACTTGCACAGGGTCAGCTCGTCCAGGATCCTACGCAGGCTGTTGATGTCTGACTCCACCAGCTGCCGCAGGGACATCTCGGTCTCATACCTGCACACACAGCCAGAGGTCAAAAGGGGCCAAAGGAGAAAGCTTTGTTTCCTGGGCTTTATTTGGCTAAGCTAGTCAAATTCATTATATTTTTAAGTATTTCGAATTTTTTAAAAGTTTTTTTTAAGGGAATAAATATCACTGTGCTGAGTGAGGAGACCTATTTCCTCCCTGATAACCAAAGGGAAGGCATTGTGGGACGCCTGTGTATAGTTTAATCTAAGATTAACTTCCTTTCTTCTAAGAATTGCATTCACAGTCACTATCAACTAAGCCCTGGCATCTTCGCCTTCTTCCGTGGGTCGGCGCACTTTGCGAGCCTGCTAGAGATTGTCTCAACGTCCTTTCCAACCACCCGAGAAGCACCAGATTAGATCAGAGCTAGCTTTGCCATTCAATGGCTGTAGACAGATTCCTTAATCTCCCTGAGACTTGATTTTCTCATCTGTAAAATGAGGACTAAACAAACACTTCATAGGATTGGACTAAAGACGAAATTATATACGTAAAATTATATTGTGAATGGTAAGTTCCCATAAAAATGCAAAGAATTCTCCTGATTATAATGGTCATACCTAAAAATACTGATTGAGTCTCTGAAAGAAATGGATTTTGTCTCCTTTTTTGTTGTTTAATAGTTTCCTTTTGATGGACTGATCGATAGTGGCTAACCCATACGAAGAGACCCACGTGAAATTCACTCTCAAAGTTGGTCCAGACATTGAGCAGAAATGGAGAGAGAGAGGGTGGTCTCCTGCACTCCGTCAAACTAAAGTTAAAGCACAGAATCTTAGCACTCGGTGTGGAGACTTTAACTGACATCTAATCTAACTCTAACCCAATGCAAGACTCTGCCCAGTACCGCCCAGGAGCTTCTGCTTGCACACTTCAGGACAGGGAGTTCATCACTTTGCAATTCAACCTGTTCGTCACTAGACTGCTACGGTCGTTAGAAAAATCTTACTTGGTCCTGAAGTCATCTGCGGCCAGCTTGGCGTTGTCGATCTGCACCACCAGCCTGGCGTTCTCAGACTTGCTGCACAGAATCTGGGGGTCGGATTAATTGTGAAATTAGTTATTCTGAGAAGGGATGCCTTGTGCCTTAAAGTAAAAAGCTGTTTTCTTTCAGCCACATTGCTTCCAAATAGCTTTAAGGCCTTTCAGATTTTCAGTTTGGGGATAAAAGGATTAGTTCATAGAACTGATCACTTCAAAACCAGAGCAATGAAGGAGAAATGTGCCCTTCATCGTGAATTCTACTCTTCTTTGACTGCCTCTGGCTTCCTGCAGGAGCTGAGTTGCTGGGTACCCAGGTCTCAGGTAGGGTGACCAACTGTCCCAGTTTGCTCAGGACTGAGGGGAGGCTAAAACCGGAATAGTCCCGGGAAAGCCAGGACGAGTCGATCATCCTACTCTCTCTCACGCCACCTCCGTTCCAATTCTGCTGACCTCTCTTCACTCTCCCTCCACATTACCCTCGTCCAAGCTACCGCATGAAGCTCCTGCCTCTACCCAGAATGCCTCTGGATGCCCTCACCCACCTAGTAAGACCCCTGGAGTAACCCACATTCTTTGTACTGTCCAGTAACATTCCTTGGGACTTCGCGGTGGTCATTTGCCTCCACGTGTGTCTCCCCTATTAGATTTTGAGCTCCGGAAGGAAAGAGGCTGTCGTACTCAGTACCTGATCCCCCACACCAGCACTGTGTCCAGTACTCGCCAACTGTGCGTGAATAAGTGAATTACATTCACATCACATGACCCCTTTCTGGCATTCGCCTTGGCAGAGGTACAGAACAGTG